CAAATTTTCCGGAGTTTCTTCAGCCACTGGAAGCCTTTCTGACACTCATCTTTTGGAATCACCAGCAGCGCTCGCGGCGCGTTCACAATTTTGCTTTGAATGCCTAAAATCTCCTTCATTTCAGCACATTCTTTAGTTTTGGGAACAAAAATAAATTACTAGGAGCTAAACCCCGACGTGTTGGATGGCTGATGAAGCACGGGATTGTGGGGTAGGTCAGAAACTGCTGAAATTGCAAAAGAAAGGAAATCTCAGAACATTTAAAACAGCATTACGAACGCGCCACGAGCGATGCTGATGAATCCAAAAGACGAGTGTCAGAAAGGCTTCCAGTGGCTGAAGAAACTCCGGAAAATTTGTGTAGATGCCGAAGAGGACTACTTTAAAGGATATAACCATCAGCAGTCAGAAAGAGTCACCACAGCGTCATAAAAAATTAAGTCTTAGAACTTTTTGATCAGACCTCGTACATTGGAGAATAAAGTTTTCCATAGCTCAAATAATTTTTTGAAGAGGATGTCCTGCAGATAGGCCAGTGATTCCCAATCTTTTTTATTTGCAGCACACATAAGAACGCTTGAACTTTCCACGGCACACCCATCCATTTACTTCCTTTCGATGGGAAACTTGTGCTTGCTCGCTGAACACAGAAGTTTGATACGAGGCGTGGTAGTGCAACTCTCAGTTCGTTTTCCCCTTAGAGATGGCGTTCCCTCTTGTTTTTAAGTTTTTTTAGTTATAGTTTTTTAGTTTTTTTGTCAACTCTGAAATCTCACGGCACACTTAAACCTTACTGGCGGCACACCGTTTGAGAAACACTGAGATAGGCTCTTTCGCGGTCAATGCTCTCCTGCGCGTGTAGACACGGATGCCAAGACTCGGCGCAGTAAGTCATTGGGGATGCTTCGAATCTCCTGGCAACACCACGTTCCTTAATATCATCGATATTGGCCGGACGTGACACATACACCTTGCTCTTTAAATAGCCCCCCAAAAAAAACCAGGCGCTGCTAAGTCTGGTGAGCGAGGAGTTCAGGTCCCCAAAGTGAGAAATAAGGCGTTGCAGAAACATTTTTGCGGACGTCATCCAAGTTGATTCTTGCCATTTGGACAGTGGCTCTATCCTGTTGGAACAAAGTGGTCGTCCAAGACGATGCAATTAATTGTCCTGGTAGATTTCTAGCATATGCTTTTAGCGCTCAGCATTGACTGTCACGTTCTGACCAGCGTCGTCTTCGAAGAAGTAAGGGCCAATGATTCCGAAAAAAGAAAAAAAATGGCGCACCAAAGTCACCTTCTTGCTGAGTTGGGGTGTTGGTGAAGCTCACGTGGATTCTCAAGTGATCAATACCAAAAGTTCTGTTTGTTGACGGCGCCTGATAGGTGGAGTGAGCCTCGTAGGTCATAAGCAGTTCATTCACTATACCTGGATTGTGGTTTGCCTTTTCCATGAATTTTTTGCAGAACTGTAAACGTGAAAGCTTTGTCCCGGTCACTTAGCTCTTGCACAATTTGCAATTTATATGCAATTTGCAATTTGAAAATGCAAGTCATTATGAAAGATTCGTCGAACACTCCTAATGAACAGCCAAGGCTCAAGGCCTGTCTGCGAGATGATTTACGTGGACTGCGCTGTACGGCACCCCTCGATTTTGCTTTGTTTTCAGGCGTACGTACCGAAGTAGGGCGACCAGGTGGTTTCACATCTTTCACATATCTGTTCCCATGCCATTAGGATACCCAGAGCAGCACCGTATTGCGTGAAGGGGCGTCCCGTCGAGAAAATTGTTGCTGGAAACCGCGCTGTATTGCCGTAACAGAGTTCGTTTTTGATAAACAGTTCCACAGCGACTATGCGCTCCGTAACCCTCCAACGCTCCATGCTGAACTACAACGACCACTCTACTCGCCTATTACACGCGAAGGAGAATGTATTGACCGTGAAGGTGCCCTTCTGCAGGAAGGGCACCTTCTTCAAAAAATAATTTGAGGTATGGAAAACTGTATTCTCCAATGTATATAGAATTTTAAAATATATCATAATAAAATATATCTGCAATCAGTCATTTGTTATTACAATTAAAAAACCGTCATGTATTTCTGCCCCACCCTGCACATGTCGGTTTTTTTAGCGATTACCTAGCTTCACATTGAATCTTATTCCATGTGATTTAAAAGTTCTCTTCGATACAGGGACATCTAAGGCGTGGGATCTCCCATGAAATCTTCCTTACACATCCAAAAACATTTTTTCCGTTAGAAATTATATTCTAGGAAAAGTAAAATAGTACTTACATTCTATTTCTTCCATGTCGTTTTTGTGATCACGGGCGAAGATATCGCCATCCTCGTTTCCATAGTACCGCCTTAGTCGACTTTCGAGTACTTTCGTCCTGTTCACCTGACTAGGAACCCAGTCGATGTCTTCCTCCGTGCATTCCGCTTTCCTCCTCTCTGCTGAAGTTTCTCCCAACTGAAAAGTAGCCTACGTCATGAGTCATTCTTTATTTTCCACCTGATTGTAAGCATGTCAAAATAAGGTCTAACAAGGAAGTTCGCGATATCGGTTCCTTCTCGCACGGAGATCTGCAGTCCCCGACCGTCGAGATAGTTACGACAGCTCTGAGGAACATTGGAGAAATTGAGGGCGACTTCGAAGCATCGAACGCTGAAGTGACGCCGGAGATCCTGTCCAGTGATGACTTCGAGGAACCTCCTCAGGGGGAGGATGTGTGTCATGGATCCCAACCAGTTGGTGAGGAAATCCTCGGCGACGTGGTGGAGCTTGCTCGGCCTTGGCAGGCCATACGGCCAAATATACTGGCCCAAATTCGCTATTTCTTCATCTATACCCAGTAAAGAAATGAAAATAGAACTTCTTGAGTAGAAGTGCAGAAACTCATCAAACGACGCCATCACATCCCATACAGTCTCTGAGTGACTGTATGAGACTGTTCACATTTTTCGAAGATTCTTGGAGCAACATGCTACAATGGAAATTCGACTTTGTTCAAATGCTGTACCGTCATCATTGAACATTCTAATGTTTACTACTTTCGATGTAAATCGCGATCAGGCCTGAATTGTGTCACAGATTTAATTGCTTAACCCTCCATTCTTTCTTTCGCTTAGTAGAAACACGAGAAAAGCAAGAGGGATTTGAGCCAGGTGTTCACACAACTCTTTCACAGTGATATGACCAGTCTCCCGTATAGGCCTACAAAACAATGAAGGAATGTTCGAACATATCGAACGTAACTGAGTTTTTTGGTGCTAGCGAAGTTTATGTGTGTTTTTAATCCTTTGCTTTATTGAAAGCCGATACCAATACATTCACGAGAATGCAAGCGTCCTATGTTCTCCACATATCTTACCGCTGGGAAGGTATCTGTCGTAGAAATAGAAGACAGGATGCAAGAAGTTGGATTTATGAGCATCCTTGGCTCTTCCTCGGGTAGCCCTGCCGCGACGCAACGTGTCCACGTCCGGACCAGAGAACTCCGGACCGTATTCATTGATCATGACGAGGAACCTGGATCCCCTGTGACCCGTCACGTTTGTGAAGTGCGGCAGCAGCTTCACCGGAAACTCCTCAAGATGCACAAATGTACTGTGCGAGAAAATACCGCAATTAAATGCAGATCGTGCCACGTCGAGCAGGATTTACTCGAAATATGAGTTGAATGAATGATGAGTTCCTAGAATCTGTCATTTGCAAACATTCATCTTTGAGTAATTTCCCCCCCCCAAGTCTTTCAGATTACAATTGACATAAAACCACGCCTGCCTGCTTTATAGAAACGTAAATGCATATATTGAACGCATAAAGAATTCGAATGATTCTGCATAACTTGCAACTAAGTAATCAAGGCTCGCTCATGGTGCATGCAACAATAGGCAACATGGATCGGAAGACGGACTCTTTAAGGATGATGACGACATCACCGAGGAAAGAGAACATCTGATATGGACCAGCAGCTTCATTCATCCTCTTCACGAGCACATTCAACAGTTCGGACATTGGATACCGGGTGGATGGCCAGGGGCGTCCGTGGTACCGGTACTCCATGATTCTATGTAGACTCCTCACTGTCGCAAAAGGCCTCATTATTCATATCAAATATGAGTATAGAACTGGATTCAATTGCCATACGTGACAAGAAGTCATTTCAGTTCCATTTCTGTCAGAAACTGAGAAAATTTAGCTTTTCTTTTATATTCTCATCCTCTTATATGGGTTTTACTCTCATGCTTCGATTATATAATATTTTCTCGTTCCGAATCATGATACCCATGGCCCAAAATGCATCAAGAAGTGTCACCTCCTTCAAATCTGCAGTTTCCGATCCAAAAGTCACGTCACGTATAGCTTTTAGTCCGCTCAGAGAAGCGTGTAAAAGAATTAGGCGATTCAATGGACTAATTGAATTAGCGGGAAATGCCAATTAATAAGATATCGATTTGGATAGCCGAACGGTGCTCTGCATATTCATATTTTCTCACCTGTATACCGGAATCCGTGAATGAAACCCCCGGCCGATTTTCGA